CAATGGCCGGCCTCCCTCATCCCAAGGGTCCCAGAGGCGTGTGAAATGCCAGGACAGGCGCAGCCCCCCCAAGGGCTCCGAGAGGCCTGCGTGTCTGCTGTAGGAGGCTGTGAGTGACGCTGCACAGGGCTGGGGGTGCTGCTGGCTGGGCCCCAAAGCTAGAAGGTGGACACAGCGGGGCAACTCTGGGCCTCGGCCCTGAGGGGCCGCATGGCCCCCGCTGCCCTCCTCTCTTTGGCCTCTTTCCTGGGTTAGCCTGAGTGTACTGCTCCCCCAACCCCAGGGCAGGCGGGACCAGGCACCGTGCGGAGCGGCCTCGGCCTGGTGGCTGCCCTGGCTCAGCTGTCTTGTCCGGATGGTAACCGGCACTCGGCTATCTTGATATATTGATCCCAGGGCTGTAGCATGTTGTAAAATGAGGTGATCATAATAGGATTTAAAGCTATTACGGGTGAAGTGGCAGCAACACGGAGCCAGGGCTCGGCAGCGTCATTCATGGCTGAAAAGTCGCACCACGAGGCTCTGCCAATCCCGGGGAGACCGGCCCTGTCGCGGGACCTGCTGGGTCTGAGGGCCGAGCCCAGATGTTCTGCGGCTCCATCTTTGTTCTCATCTTTTTCCATCCATGACAATAAAAGGGCTTTGCTCCAAACTGAAGTTGCTCAGAACCCACGGCAAAGCCAACCACAGCTGTGGGCATCCTGGGCTGAGGGCGGGTTCAGCACGCACGTGTGCACACCGCATCACCCAGCAATACACATGAACACGCATGCCCCTCCACACGCCACCCTGGCTCCCCTTCCCGGTGTCGGGGGGCTGAGCAGCTTCTCTGTGCTTCTGAGAGCTCCCGGGCCCGAGCACTGCCACACCTGCATCCGCGCTCACACCTGGAGCATCTCACGGGCTCGCGCCCCCGTCCCTCGAGGCCGGCAGAGCTCCCTTCTGGCCGGCGCTAGGTGGTGGAGGTTCTGAGAGGCTTCCCCACACCCGGGGTCCCTGACAGCAACACACATGCTGTCCAGCACTGAGAGCAGCCGACTCTGAAATGCCTTCCTCTGCACCCCACCACCGGCTTTACTGGGGGCTCCATGCTGGGGCCCTCTGCACCCCTCCGCTGTGGAGCAGAGACCCCCATGCAGCTGTGGGGATGGAGTAGGCAGACCCCTGGCCCTCTGCTCACGTGCTGGCTGGGAACCTGACTGAGGAGAGAGGCTCTCTGGGCCCCCAACCACAGCAAGCGGTCGCTCCCAGGAGGAGCTGGGGAAGGCTAGGTCCAGGAGGCTTCTCGGAGGAGGTGGCTCAGGGCTGGCTCCAGCACTGGCCCAGAAGGCCAGCCACCTGCACTCTGTGCCCAGCTGGGCACTGGGCGAGGCCTGCGGCCTCCTCTGTGGGCAGCAGAAGCCCAGTGGCTCCCCCTCCCTCACCTCCAAGCTCGAGGGGCACGTGCTGGGGGTCTGGGCACCTCAGCCCCGCGTAGCTTGTTCCACTGTGTCACGACAGGCAGTGGGGGCGGGGCTGGCGGGGCTGAGGGGCCAGGAGCGTCCAGAACCTGGCAGCTGCCCACGTGCCAGCAGGGTCGGTGGCCCTCCCGGCCTGTGCAGCAGCTGGACACCAGAAACAGAGAGATGTATCGAATTCAGCTCAGCAACCCAGGCATGAACGCCTGGCCTTTAAAGAGAAACTTATCTGTAATTAAAATCATGCACAAGTTTTAGAAAGAGCCTGTTTACAACTGGAAAGAAAGCTGATTGTGAAAATGAATAGGCTTCCGCCGGGGCCCGGAGTGTTTAATTCAAAAAGAAGTCCCCCCACGGAGGCGCTCTGCCAGGGCTGTTTTCCCCTGTGCTTTTGGGGGGCTGGCGGCCGCGGCTGCAGTTGGCGCTGACCTTATCAGGCGTGATCGCACCCGTGGGGCTGGTCTGCGGGCTCCCGGGCGGCTGAGAACTTGCCACAAATCCCGCTCCTCCGCGTGTGAGCAATAAATTAGCCCAGTTAAAATCAGCAGGACACGCTTATTCAAAGTTCATGTTTCCCTGTGAGCAGATGGTGGCTGCGGTGTGTGTGAAGCAGGTGGCATCAATCACCAGCCTCGGAATTTAGGGGACAGTCACGCTGGCCCTCCCGGAGGAGCCGCTGCCTTCTGGCACGTGGTAGCTGTGAGAATGTGATTTATGCCTGGAGGGGGGGCTGGTCCCTGTGCCTCGGTAATTTTGGAGGATTGTGGCGCTGTGGCCGAGAACCGGCAGAGCAGTTGGTGGAGATCTTGGGGCCACCTGCTCGTAGAGCTTGGTGGTCGCCGACTTTGCCCATCCTCTCTGCTGCCCTTCCGGCTCCGTGGACGACACAGCTGGCCCGGACCAGGCTCTTTTCCCGGGTACTGATTGCAATTAAGAGCGTGAATTTGAAACAGAAGATACGGGGCCCCGGGGCAGGAGCCCTCTTTCTCCCATGCCCTGTGAGAGCGAGCCCACCTCTGAGACCACCTGACCTGAGAAAAGCCTGGGATCCCCGGGCACCCCCAGCCCGGCCACCGCACCGAGAGCTCCAGGAACCTGCACAGATGGCCGCATGGTGTGTTTGCTGCTCACCGAGTTAGGGCAATCTCAGAGCCAGCCGCGAGAGTGCGGAAGAGGCCTCCACAGACCACGGCACCCCTCCTGCCCAGCAGCCAGACCCATGGACCCCTGCCACCTACCATGGGCAGGGTGGCCTGGGTCGGGCCACCGTGGGGCACAGGGGTCACTGCCCCATGGAGTAGGGGCCCCACTCCGGGTCCCCCATCCTGTGAGGGGGCGGGACCCTCCTGAGAGCCTCTCAGTGGGGGGAACTCATCCCTCGTCTGGGGACACACAGGCTGGTCTATGTGACCAGGTGACAGCAGGGACCTCGGAGCCAGGGTGGAGCATGCGGGTGGGGCAGGCCACAGGGGACTCAGAGCAGGTACCCGCCAGGTGGTTGGCTGGGGCCTGGCAAGGTAGGCCCAGGGGCCGTCTGAAGAGGCGCCCAGCAGGACCGAGACCACTGCACTTCACCTGCCCTGCTGCTCGACCACACAGGGCAGCCACGCCAGGACAGAGCCCCTCCAGGCCAGTGCCCCATTAGCCTGTGCTCCCCTCGGCACCAGGCCCTGACCCCATGCAGAGCAAGCTGCCCCAGGTGGGGCCCCTCCTGCCCGGACCATGACCAGTGCGCGTCCAGCAGGAGGCGGCTTCCCATCTCCCTGCCTGCGAGCAGCCATGGCCTCTCACCTGGTGCAGGCATCGGGGCCCAGGTTTCGTGGGGTCCCTTTGGAGCATCCCTGCGTTCACGGGCCTGTCCCCACTCTCGCCCCTGCCCCCCAGGCCTGGTAGGGCCACTTTCCACGTTTCAAAGGCAGGATTGGGCACTGCTGGTTGCTCTGGGTCACCCGAGGCTGTCGGGATAGAGCAGAAGGCAGCGCACATGAGGTCGGTCCTTCCCAGATCTGCTGGCAGGCTGGGCCTGGGAGTGGGGCCCTGTGGCTGGAGAGGGTGGTGTATAGACGGCTGCCTGTAGAGCCCGGACAGGCCAGCCCTCCATCCACCCAGCACCCCGTGGCCCTCTGGCCTCTGCTGCTCCAGCCTGTGGCGTTCACAGCGAAGCCTTTCCTCCTCTGGGATCCCGCTGACCCCAGAGCCCCGTCTTGCCCCTCACGTGGCCACCACAGTCCCCTGCCTCCCCAGGAGGACTTGGCAATGGTTGGCTGGGTTTGGCAATGATTTCTGGGATATTACACGAAAAGCACATGCAAGGAAAAAAATAAATTGGACTTAATCAAAATTGAAAGCTTTGGTGCCCCAAAGGGCGCTGCCAGAGGATGGGAGAAGATACTCACACACCATGCATCTACTGAGAGAAGCAAGCACAGAACACAGAGAGCCACTGCGACTCCAGGACAACAACAGACACAACTGCAAATGGAAAAAGAACTTGGACAGACGTGTCTTCAGAGATGCGACTGCTGGTGTCCAGGGCAGGTCCTCTCAGGGGCAGGGGGCGGAGTGAGGCAAGAAGACTGCGGAGGTGGGGGCGGGGGACGGCCAGCCGCCCCCACGGCTGGGGGACAAGTGGCAGGCTCTGCACTGCGGGTGAGACAGCAGCGGTTCCTAGCTATGCTGCTTTCCTGATCCTGGTGGTTATGCTGTGGTTTCTTAAGAGAATGTCCTTAGTTTTAGGAAATTCACGCTGAAGTATTAGAGGGTTGGCATGTCTGCAAGTTACTTTCGAATGATCCCAAAATTCATGCACACACACACACACACAGTGAGAGAGGGAGAGTGCAAGCTTGCACCCCCGGTGAAATTAATAATAATAAAAATACTTAAACTAGTCGTATTTTAAAATATTTTCAGTAAGTGTTCTGTGCTGGTAACTGGTAAGCATATGGAATAAAGCAGTAATTGACCAATACAAAAAGGATCTTCATGGTCTCAGTACGAGAATATTTCTTAACTAGTGCAACAGAATGTACCAACTATAAAAAATTGTAGAAATTCAAAGCTGTTATTCCTCAAAAACACCAGTAAGACTGTGGGAGAAGGTATCTGTGTCATTGAAGGGTTTGTCACGAAGAATTGTGACAAACCGACAAGAGAACTTGAACAGACACTTCAAGAACAGGAGTCCCACGGCCAGTGAGCACAGGAAGAGGAGGTGGATGTTATCTGCAGGCTGGAACAGCCCACCGAAACCACAGTGACAGCCCAAACGGCCGCCGACAGACGTCTGGATAAAGCTGTGGTGTATTTGCACAATGGAGTACTACTCAGCCATAAAAAGTTAATGAAATATTGCCATTTGAAGCAACATGGACGGACCTATAGACTGTCATTCGAAGTGAAGTGAGCCAGAAAGAGAAAGAAAAGTACCAAATGGTATCACTTATATGTGAAATCTCAAAAAAAAAAAGACACAAGTGAACTTATTTATAAAACAGAAGCAGACTCACAGATAGAAAACAAACTTACGTACCAGGAGGGAAAGAGGGTGGGAAGGAATAAATTGGGAGTTAGAGATTTGCAGATACTGACTACTTTACATTAAACAGATAAAACGTTCATACTGTATAACACAGAGGACTAATGTCAATATCCTGCAGTGACCTACAATGAAAAAGAACATGAGAAGGATTATATGTATGTATATGTATGTACGACTGAAAAATGCTGCGTATGTTGCAAACTGATCATACCTCAGTTAAAAAAGAATCAAAAAAGCTCCAAACAAAACAAATCCACAGTGAGATGGGACTACACACTTACCAGATGCTAAAAAGAAAAGCGACCCCCCCCCCCGGGACCGGGAGTGTGGAGACGGAGTCCCCCCGGGGACCGTGGGAGTGTGGAGGACGGACTCCCCCCGGGGACCGTGGGAGTGTGGAGACGGACGTCCCC